TGTACAAGGATGCCAGCTGCCGTTAAACCCCGAAGAAGAAGAAGCTGTGTCCCAGAATTCATAGCGCGGCCCAGCTCAGTTTCCAACAATGGTGGCAGCTAGTTAGCTTTAATATTACTCTTATTATTCTTAATCTCTTAAACAGCACTGACGGAGTCGTTACAGGAAGCTGGTCTCTGAGCGTTCTCATCAGCTGCTGTGATGAAAGCTGAATTCTCCCGATACTGAACATGAAATGTGCCGCACCCTCACCCCGTCTTTTATAAGCTGACCCACAACACAGAGTCCAGGTGAGACACAGCGGCTCTGATGTGTAATACAAACCTTTCATTCTGTCTTTGCAGATACCCGCGGCAGCGATGGACAGAGTCAGCCTGCTGTGGCGTCTGAGGCGGCGGGCTCGCCGCGGCGTGCTCTGCATGACCTTCTTCTGCATCTCCATGGCTCTGCTCTACGCCATCTGTGCTGAAAACAGCGTGCCCGTCACCGACGCCATCTTTGGCGTCCGGGCACGAACCCGCGCGCAGCCTCATGCGCACAATGTCATCAAGGTGCGAAAAGTGTAACCACAACCGGAAACATTTCATTGAATAGTTTCTATTCAACCCACAGCAAAACTACTGCAAGGAAAACAAAGTTTTAAATTCAGGTGAAAAATGAAATTTGGCAAGAAAACAAACAAACACGCACTGTGCAAAAGTCTTGAGCCACCCCTTGTTTCTAGATATTTTGCTTCCAAGCAGCCAGATGTTTTAAAGTGTTGTTCCTACACATAAGAACAACTTTTATTAGCAGACTGTCACAAAAACACATCGTTTGTTCTCATTTCTGGTTAAATATCAAAAAGTCTCAAAGGCAATACTGTGTTCGCACCGACAAGCTGATTCCCAAACTCAGTGAGTGGAGGCCAGAAGAAGACGCAGCAGACCTAAAAACAACTACAGCTGAACAGTATCTGAAAGTCATGTCCTTAGAAGACCTGACACAGAACCACAGAGAAGCATCTGGCACGTCAGTCGGCGCTCTGTTCCCTGAACCAATCAGAAATAGCCTCAAGGCCAAAACCAGGGTTTAGTGGTCCAGCTTTCGTTCTCTCCATCGTCATATTTAAGGTGTTGCAGCTGCGCTCCAGCGAGAGGAAGCTACAGGCTCGATGCTTGAGCTGGTGTCAAGCACCACCTGCAAGTCTGCAGGGGAAGAAACGAACAGACTTGAGTTATTTTTGGTGAACCACAATAATGTTGATGCTGCTGATTCCCACAGGTGCTGCGAGGTGGAGCCAAGCCCATGTACACGGACCCTCAGAAGCTCCCGGGCGTCATCCCAGGCGACCCTCGCCGTCCGATCCCCGTCCTGTCCTCGTCCAACCACAGCCACGAAGCCAGGGATTCGTCGTCGAAGCGGAAACAGCGGGAGCCCCCGGGGTTTTTCAGCCGGCTGCTGCCGCGCCCCTTCACGCGAGCGCTGGAGACCCTGTTCGGGGGCCGGCGGAAGGGCGAGCTGAGCGGCAGAGGCAGCGACGCCGAGTTCTTCGGGCCTAACGGGCTTTTGGGAGAGGTGTGGGACGACGAGATGTCCAGCAGCATGCTGGGAACCAGGATGAAGAAGGTGGTGCAGAACTACCAGGTGAGTCGTGGACCAGTGACGCAGCGTCTACAAGTTACATGCAGGCTGAGTCCAGATTTATATGGACTGACGCTCCTCCCTCCATGTTTCTGGTGTTTCTGTCAGGCGATGAACAAATACGGAGTCGAGCTGTCGGGCCCCGGCGGCGTCTCTGGCACGCCGAAGCTGAGCGGTCCCGAGCTTCTCTGCCAACTGAAGGACAAAGTAGAGGTCGCGACTTTGACCCCTGACCTCCAGCCCTTCTCCTTGCTGCCCTGGGCCACCCAGCTGCCTCCGCAGCAGCTGACCTCTGACCTCGGACCCTACAAGAGCTGTGCTGTGGTGTCATCGGCGGGTTCGCTGCGCTACTCTGGGCTGGGCAAAGAGATCGGTGAGACATTTAACCCTTTAAAGCCGGTCAGAGCGGGCACGCTCTGTTTTGCGTAACTATTTTTAAATCCCGGTAGCTCTGCAACCACATAAGCTAGTGCAATAATTTTTTTGCATATGAAACCGGAGGAGTTGTACTTACATCTGATGCCATCAGCTTGTCCTCGGTCACAGTTTCCTTCCACATATAGCTTTGCAAAAACTGCATAAAAAGCACTTGCAGGAACAAAAACATAATATTCCAGAAACACACTTTGCCGATCCATCAGCTGTTCGTAACACTTCCTACGACCATCAGCACGAACTATCGCATGTCCACCATGACCTGCCCGAAATCGGAAGTGATGTCGTTTTCTCGGAAATGTAGTTTTTTACCATCAGGGCCTCATGAGCCTATACTGGTGTTTTTAGAAGTCATGTTTGACTTTATGACTTCCTGTGTCGTTTCTGGGATGCTTCATATTGCACTGCTGGAAATAGTTTATTTTGATGCATATGGTATTGTTTTTGCAAATTTGCAGTATAATATTTATTTTCGTTTTTCCTGCAGTGTATAAAAATTGGTGTATTTCAAAAATAAAACTATGAAGACACTTAAAATAAATTCCTGTGGTGGGAAACTATTTTGTGCAACTTTTTTGTATTTACAGTTTTGAGGGATAAGCCTCT